ACAATGATGCTGGAGCGTGGATGTTTGGTGGACTGGAGGAAAAACGAGTGGCGCATTCGGCGCCACGCGAGGTCGAGGCGGAAAATATGGGGGCGTTATGGCGGTGCACAGCTACGCCAATGAAAGACTTCGGATGATGATGAGTGACGGCTTTCTCTCGTCTTTTTCAGGGAGTCTGGAGCGGCCCAGCTCCACGTTGACGGTAGCATTACAACGGTCTGTCTCACTTTTCCACGCTGCTTAATGATCTTGAAGCGGTCAGTGGCTGGCGATTGTCTTATACAAGCTGGAGTTCTGGACTCTTGACGTTGCAAAGGCGCTTGACTTGACTCCATTGAAGGAACCTAATCAAGGCAAGTATGAACAAGAAATAATAGCACCTAGGTATTGCGTAGAGGACTGGCACACTGGGAAACGTCAAAATATCCGACCACCGACCCAAGGTAGATTGGGTACGTACCTGGCGTTCATCTTCATGACTTACATAAGGTTTGAGGCACGTGCCCTCATGAATCCCATTGAGCTGAGTAAGGCACTGAACTTTGAAGACAACGGGTGAGATGAGTAAGAGAAGTAAGAAAGTTGATGGAACGGAAAAGCGTACGGCTGGAAAAGAGTACACATCGTACCGAAGCCCGACTGAGATATTCCTAGATCAACCATTCTTGACGTGAACGTACAGTAGTATGGTACTGCCAATGTTAGGATGCCCCTGCTGGATGTTCGTCCAAACCTTATCCTACTTCAGCCTCAAGTTCTCCCAGCTCTCAATCATCCCGACTTGGACCAACGTTGCTTCTGAGACACGTCAAATTCAGTCGGTTGCAGCTTGTTTACTCTGACATGGCGTGAGCAAAAGGCTTCGAATGAGGGGGAATAGTTGAAAATCTTCGTTTTCATGGTAAGTAAGATACGTTCACATCCCCGTTCGACTTACATTCATGGACAAGTACGCAAGACTTTGTCTGTCAATGTCGTGGCACCCACCCAATGTTGTGGTACACTATGCTCGACAGCCTCACTTGCCCCAAGTATATGAGACCTATGAATGTTGGCACCCGTTTCTTCATGCTGCCCTCATGCTCACTCTCACGCACGTTCTCATCGGGGTTCTGTAAATTGGACGACCCTCTCACCCTGTGTTTCCATGCACAGTGCAGATAGTCTGTCAATTATCCCCACATTTCTTTCCCCTCCCATCTTCATTGTGGCTTGACAACCGGAAGCCACAGTCTCCAACTTTTGCTTCTCACTGTACGTGGCTGCCTGATTGATGCACCGCAGCGCGCCAAGTCTTTGGTGATACCTTCCACCTCCACGTCTTGCTCTCCAACCTACTCCTTTGAACCCAACGAATTCCATCACCCTCAACATCCCCGCCATCCTTTCCGTTCCGCGGGGCTAATGCTTCTTGTCATACGTGTCACTGCAAGATCACCACATCCTTTCTGCATCAGACGCCCCAAAATTGACCGGCCACTATCCTTCTACGCCCATCCGAAGCAACTCATAGATGCTGCGACTAGCACAACCGCCGTGTTCTTGGTCCACTTCATTCTAACTCATTCATTGAGAGCTGCGTCAAAACGTTTCATCAAGACTCTGTCCAAAGAATAGGGCCGACGTACTCACCAGTAACGTCGCACCGGAAGTCTTTCTGCTCGAACCCCAATTACCTGCTGCAAGGCTTCGTCTGAATCGGCTCTTGACGTGCCGTCGATGCAACGGCCCTCCAGCTGCGAGATAACGCCGCTTCGAGTTCTCACGCGGCTAGCTGCGTATTCTCCCATCTGATAGACCACGGAAGTTTGTTCTTAGTTGTCGAGTATACGGGACTTGCGCAGCCATGACAACACCGTCCGTCTGGCGACGGCTGCCTGTGCCTCCTTCAGCCGATCTGCCCAACCTTTTGGTATCGACAACATTCACGACTACATCATACACAATCTTTGTTACAGACCTGGCCAACATATGGTCTGAATCGTTGGATCGGCGTGCAATCTACAAGCGCAGCCTCAATGAGTCCACTAGTATCGACCCGACGGACAGCGACAGCAACATGCGAGCATTCATGTCCAAGATTCAATCTGTCTTTGATCCAAGCCACCGAGACCATGGAAAAGCATCCATGTCGATATCAACACACTCTAACAAGGAAGCTGGGGAGCAGGGTCTGACATTGAGTATTACTTGCGAACTGGATAACATGCAACCTCTAGAATGGCCGATGTATCTGCAAAAGTGTTCCCAGTCAGAACTCACGACAGAACTTGTCGTGCCCCTCGCACAAGCAAACTCTGTGAGCCGCCGGCGAGTGGAGTCCCTTACAGAAACCATCAAGCAGAAGGATGCCGTTATCATGAAGCTTCTGGACAAATTAGAAGCTACTGGGACCCGCCTGGAGAACGTTTTCGCCGTCTTGTCCGCAAAACAGAAGCCCACGAGAAAGATGGCAGAGGAAAAAGTCAAGGGTTTGGCTCCCTTTTCTCTCGAGGATTGGAAGGCGCAGTCAGACCACGGCCTGGAGGACGTCCTCGGTGCTATTGAGAGTCTCTTTGGCGGCGATGGACTCGAGTATAGTCGCAAGGCTGACATGGACACCGCAACTCCTCTTGACGACTGGTGGGCCAGGCCAGAGGCGTTATGTATCCCGATTGTGGGACCCAAGTCGAGGTCCCGTTCAAGCAGGCCGGCAATGTCGCCTCCCGAATCCGAACGAGAGGGGCATGGTCACAGCGAGCGGGCAAACAAGGGGATTGCGGGAGAGGATCAGGATGATGATTTTCAAGTGCAGTCGACGCCTCCCCATCTTATGCCCGCCCGGAAACGTTCCGTCCCGCCGCCCTCCGGACGCGACGACGATAGCACTGAAGACGAAGACGAATCCCACATTCCAGACAGCGTACCTGTACCTCCTGATGAACCCATCATTCAATCTAATCGCCTGGGTACGATAGGAAAGAAAGGCCAGCCTGCAACAGCAACGAGATCTTCAGGCCTGAAAGATCCTGTGCCAGCTGCTCCAGGCTCGGATACTGAAACGGCATCTGAAGACGAAAGTCCATTATCGGTAGTTGAGATCTCGCCACCACCGAAGCCTGCCGCGAGTAACTTCAAAGGGGGCTTGTGTCGTATCGGCGATGGTCGTGCCAGTCGCTCAAAGACTCCAGAATCTCCGAAGAAGGGGGCTTTAGGCCGCATTGGTGGCGACCGTCAACCTTCAAAATCGCCAGAGCCATCTAAGAAGCCTGTTTTGGGCAGGATAGGCAGAGGCGCGCGCCCATCGAAGACTCCAGAGCCGAAGACCGAAGATGCGGAAATCAGGGGAAGGTCTGGAGCGGACGAGGAGCCTTCGGTGAAGCCCAGGGAGACGTCACAGGAACGGGCAGATCGGAAACGAGATGAACTACAACAAGAGATACAGAAAAAGGCCACGTCGGGACCAGCACGGAAGAAGCGGAAGTTCTAGATCGACCCTAGTCTCAAGTCTTACATCTCTATGCCACTCGAAGCTACCTCATCACTGAACATCCTTCCGGCCATTTGGCAGTACTGCAATGAGGTGATATCGAAAGCGATGCCGGCTGCTATCTTTAGACGGACAATACTCGACTGGTAGCCTACTCAGGAGAAGAAGACATCAGCGTAACAAGGCTATTCTCGAAATAGATATTGGCATGCCGTCGGACCGGGAATTAAGGTGGACGAAGTGTTCAAGAATGTATCCGATGCGGATTGCCTTACACATGAGACACCCTCTGGCTCGGATTCTGGTTTAGAACTACTTCATTCTTCTCTCAAATCTGACAGCCTTCAGGACGTGGCGCAAATTACTCCACACGAGCCATGCAAGGTCGCTTGATAAAGGACCGAAAAGATTTACACGTCGTTAGCTCGTTTGTCCGACATAGGATGTTCGTTTCCGGAGCCCCGACGTTGAGCAGCAGAATCTTGCATACCTCCGTGTGGTTTCCTTGAGATGTTCGCAACTGCGTCTTCCTCCGAGGTTATACCTGGAGCTGAAGCGAGACAGGCCGAGCTTGTACAACAGCAGAAACGCGTCTGGCCGTGCCGCGGATCACGTACATTATTTCTAGAAGCCCAGTGACAGATCAGGAACAACTGTCATTTCTCAATGTCGAGACTTTATGTCCCATTGCGATACCCAGCCAACGGCACGTAACGTATTTCAACAACAATGGAATGAGAGGATGAAACGTTGCAGCCTTTTCAACGCAAGACCGTCTAGAAGATGAATATTGCTCGTGGACATCGTTCCACTTCAGCATGGACATGCCGTTCTATTTATGACATCTCCCGATGGCAAGGTGGCACCAGGTCACACATCGGCAGTCGATCCAAAAGGCTCGTCTTGTTCTTGAGAAGCGCAAAGTAATACCGAGACATATCTCAAGATACCTTTCCCCCACGTGGCACTCATAAACATCTTCAACCGGCGTACCGCCCTTCAAGTTCGATACAACTCAACGGAAGGTCTCCGCCTTGTTAGACGTTGGACCGTGCAACACTCGTTCCTCAGTTTGGCAAACCGCGCCCATTCTCGGGAAATCTCTCGCGCATCTTAACGGCGCGGCCCATAAGCGGAAAGTAATATTCGTTGTAAGACGAAGTACAGAGAAGCGCTCGTCTATTCCGTCTGTCGGCTACAGTGACACGCCTGCGGCTATGGAGCATTGTATTCAACGAGACGTAAAACCCTGTATACGATATCATGCCAAAGGAAGCCATTCGCTTTGATGCATTGCTTAGAGACGACACCGGTCAAGGGACGGTGCATGATCTGGGTTCCGACCAGCTGCCCGAGGCCGCGGCCCGCGATGCGACCTTGCAGCGTTGCGGGACAGATTTCTTCCTCATACGTTTGGCGATGTAACATGTAGCAATAAGGCTTCGAGATTCCTGCAATGAAGCTTGGCAGTTTACGTCCGCATTTCCGCAGAAGCAACTGTCCTTGAACGCCTCAAGTTTCAACGGGGCAGATGCATCACGACCATACCAATGCTGCATCGGAACGATGCCCCGGTGGCTCGTCCCGTCGACCGGGCAGGACTTCTCAGGGCACAAAGTTGTGCTCTTTCGCCCGTAAGATCGCACGTAAGAAGACGGGAAACCTGCCGTCGTGAGTGGGTGACTGCTTTAGCGAGCCCACACGTCAGCTTCTGCTACAACCCAAGGGCTTATCGGAGCCTTCTTTACGGACGTTATAATTCAACGACTTGTCTTCGACCTGCGTGCCATTTTTCTTTCCTAGCATTTGTGCTTAACGGCCGAAGGCAAAGCCATCGGTTGAGGAACATTGCCTTTGCCAGCCAGAATCAAGCTCAAACGGCCGTTCTCAACCGGCCAGCGCTGGTCTGCAGCTTCGCGATGGCGAAGATTCAACGTGAATCACTGAATGATTGGTGCAGATCGATACACGGGCATCATTCTTGTCGCAGGATATTGGCTCGAGAAAAGAAAGCGCCTCGGTGGCATCAATCACCGGAGTGCCATCAGAATAGCGAACTGAGGATACGACAGAATGCCATCGAAAGATCAAATGAAACGTCCCCGAATCGACTTGAGAGGCGTAAAGTCGGCTAAAAGGCTTTGAAGATGACATTGAACAGGAGAAACTCGGTGCGGTCATTCATCACCACCCGCGTCTCCATGCCGTGAGTGCGCTCGACAATTATGAGGGAGGAATTGAAGATCGATCGAGAGGATGCTTCTTTCTCGGCGAGAATAAGATTTCAGATTTACGGACCGCTGCATTACGCTGCATCAACTAACCGCGGTCCGGACGGACATCAAAGGACTTCTGCAGGCTGTTCAAGCATACCCGACAATGTAAGCCGATGGCGCCGTGTGTTCGAGTAGTTGCTCTGCACGCTGCGGATTGACGATCCTCGCCAGCGTGGCCTGCGCATCAGACGGGAAGATTCAAACACATATCCCAGGGCCGCCCGCGGCACGGAAACTCGACCGGAGCCATAGATATGGGCCGAGGGGCCTGCGGCTTTCCTTCGAGGATGTCGATCCCGCGCCGCTGTGCAACGCAATGAAGCATAAGATGCGATGTATACATGTTCCTTTGAAGTTGCACTCAAGCCTGTCAACCGGGAAGCAGCATATAGGCTACTCCTGTGCGGGTTCTCGAGGCGAAAGCCATGGATCTGCCAACTTCATCTGCGTGACCCAGAAGCCAGTGATCTCAACCTTTCTAGGATGAATCGGGTTTTAAGGAACAAGGACTTAACGTCAATCTCGGTCCACACAGCACGGATCCCGTGCTCATGTGTGGGAGAGCCGAATGGCGGTGGACGACATTGCAGACACGGTTTCTGGGCGCTGGCTCCCCCCCAAAGTTCATCATCACCGATCAATGCCGTGCGCTGTGTGACAGACCATTCATGGACTTACGTCCGTACTTGGCAAGGAGAGCGAAAAAAACGGCCGGGAACTCGTCAGAACTGCCATCTCGATAATCAGAGATCCAGGATCTATCACAAAATTCAGCCATCGAACTCTCGATTTTGTGACGAGCGGCTCTTGGTAGAATAAGTCCTCGGCGAGCCACGGTGGTGTGCGATAATCAAGCTGGAGTCCAGGACTTGTGGAAGCACCCCCCTCATGTTTGAACGCAAAGAGGTCTGGCGAGTTGGTATCTGTGCCGCCGTATCTGTACCGCGGGCCCCCATCTGGATTGTTGGACCAACGAACAAAATTCGAGTCCTGGACAGGCACGCGTGTCTCCTCCGGCGGGATCTGCCCCCACCAAACCCGAGAGCCAGGGTATAGTTGCCTGTCTCGCAACCGTCTTTGCAATGACAGTGGATAGACCGTTGGAGGTGCTCAACTGTGGACGAGGAAGGACTAGCGAGAAAAAACGGCGTGCTAGCTCGCCCGGCAGGACGGCTGTCAAATCTGTCAACCGCGCAGCCAGTCGACACCACCTTTTGCTCGACTGTATTGGCACATGTGGGGGATGAGCGACTATGAGCGAATCATCTCGGCACCCACGAGCCCCCGCCTGGGTTGGGATATCGTCGTAATTGTGCTCTTTTGGCATTTTCCGATCACCCAACGAGTGCCGTTTGACATCTTTTGTTCCCCCGATCACTTATCCGAAGATTCGAAGCCGTTGGCGCGGGGTTCTCGCACCTATGAACGTGCCAGGTTAGGGATGGTTGTTGGAAACAACCCCCCCAGGAGCCAACCTTGCAAGCGTGATCTGTCCACCGCTGGCCCTGGACTAGACTAGTTGTCTCCTCAGCCTTTTTGAAGACATGTCAACACGAGGGTCAAGGACGGGACGCATAGCGACACAGCACAGGACTCGACCCAAGGGAAGCTTGAAAGAGGGCAAAGGTTGCGAGTTGTCGTTGGTTGTTGGCCGTTGCCACTTGGGTGTTTCTAGTGACAGTCTTCGCGCTGGTGACTCGAGACCCAAGCCTTGACAGACCAGGGGGGGTTCATTCGAGGGAACGACGGTCGCGTTGGGCGGACCTCTTGGACGGAGCGGAGGAAGTGTCCGAGGCGGCGAGGTGTTTCCGCAAAGAGGAATGCAAGAGGTCGGAGAGGGGGGTAAGAAGGATTTCCACTTGTACCTGGCACTTCCAGGTTAAAAAGTGGATGATTTGTGGACCATGTCCATCGGACGTTTGCCCGTCCCCCCGCCGCAAAGAATGGGAAAAGAGGAACGCCCAAGAGAGAAAAGGCAAGTCTGTTTCAACGACGTGCGTCTTCTGGTGAGCCAGGCCTACCAGACATACCAGACAGGCCATCATTTGGTGTTGGCGGACTCTCGTCAACTCCGACTTGGGGGGCGGTGACAACCTCTTCAACATCTCAGACGCTTATTTTACCCTTAGGGTTTGTTGCATGCCGCCGCAAACAATTACCGGCGGTCAGTCAAGGCTTTATCGGTCTATCGATCCTTTTGCCTGCATCTCATGTGGCACAAGATGTGCCCCAGACATTGGGCCTACATCAAAGAAGCTGGATCGCTCAGCGGCATCTAATTTGAGCGTGGCTTTTGCTTGGGAATCTTGGATGACTGGACTGGGCCCCCCCTTCCTCACAGTCTCACACAGCTCACATCTATGCCAGTCTTGCGCCTCAGCTGTTATGCAGACTATGAACAACGGCACATCGTATTACTGTGTAAGGTATCTCGTCCCAGTATCAGTGCGGGACAAGTACCCATGACACCCTCAACCGTTGGCCATATGACCGTGCGACTGCGGGTTTTCTTTGTCAAACCAGCCACTCGAGGGGTCGACAGTCCTGCAAAGACAGATCCGGCCTGCCGTGCGGCTTCCGGGCAACCAGTCAGCAGCTCGCGCCCAGCTTCGTGGCTTGCCGGTTCTCTTGGCTCGATGCCTCGAGTAGAAAAAAGATGGGGGCCATCTGGCCACAGTCAGGGACAGGGATACCTTCGCGACATAACTTGACGCTGCGACGGGCCTACCCTACTAACGAGGCCGTATTGTGCGCTGCGCCGCTGGCCTCGGGTTTTGTCAGTCGACGTTGCCAGTGTTTAGAAGATTGATAAGTTTTTGGCGCAAACCCGGCTTAAAGCCACCCAAGATATACAGATTCCCGACGAGGGCACCCCCGCCTTGAGGACATATGCAGAATACGATGGCTTCTTCCAGTTCCAGTTGCGAGTCTGACCCCTGGAATGGTGTTGCGAGATCAGTCCAAAAACGCACCCTAGCCTTTGAGAAAGAGGCACGAAGAGGGTGCTTGAGCAGGGTGTGAGCAAACCGCCTACCAAGAGAGGGCAGTGGGACCCAACAACCTCGTCTCGAGTCCAACTACCTGCTCCATGGTCCATGGGCTAGCTAACCAGCTAGTGTGGTTCTTGTTCATCCCAGGACCTTGGCATGGCCACACCTGCCACCTAGAATCCACCTCGAACGAGCAGAAGTCCGGGATTAACGAGCAGAACTCCGGGTTGGGAGACGCCATGTACCAGGACCAAGACGCCCATCAGTCCCTAGTCTCGACCCGAGGGCTCGGTAACCAATGATAGAGAAAGAAGCGAGAGTCACAACCCTCTTATCACCCTTCAATGACAGGCTCTGTGGACAAGCATGACGTTCACCCAGGGCGCGGCAGGACAAGTGGTTCGCCAGTTATTCGCCATTGCTGCATGGCAAAAATCCCCGGCAGGGTTATACGCGGTCTCGCGGAAGTCGGGATCGCAGAGCGGCTAGTCCTGTTACATTCAAGCGTCTATCATACCCATCTCCTCCTCTCGATGTGCTGCAGATAAAGGAGGAAATCAAAAGACGTCTTGCATGAGTTGTTGCTTCTCCAACGGGCGTGCGTGAAAGGGAGATGGCCCTCATCTCGACAAAGAGACTATGGAGCCATCCTCTCGTCGGCCTCCTCTCCACCCCCGCGATGCGACATGCGGAAGACACAGACGGGTTGACAATGCTACGAGGAAAAAGAAAGCGGCAGACATTTGACAAATTGACGCGACGTTGGGCCCTGAAGAACTCTTTCCCCTCAGAGGGGTGTGCTACCACGCTACCTACATTCACCGCTGATGGCCTGGCTTGGGCGACAACCTCGTCGCCTCCGCCTCCTCCGCCGCCGAGCCTTGCCGCCCAGTAGTCCAGGCCGATCTGACCCGGGGCGACTGTCGTTGTTGTCGTCGTCTACAGGACCTATCATGTCTCATCGCTTACCCTAATGACTATCTGCCCGCCTAGTTCTAGCGTGCCCTGATGCAATGAGGGCTGCGCTTTGCGAGGCTTTGATCTCCGGCCTCACAGGGCGAAGGAAGTAGATTGGGAGTATCCAATGCAAGGGCCGCATGGCTACGCATGGCTATGGAGCGCGGCGCTGCGGCAGGCACATCAAGCTCCATCCTGGCGATCCCCGATACTCGGGGCTTGCTCTTCTCCACATTCCCACGACGTTCGAGGAAACCCGATGTGTTCTTCGTAGCAAACCGCCCACGCCCCTGGTGCGTTCGTTCCATGGCATCTCTTCATCTCAAATCCTCTGTGTCCGAGGAGTAGGGAGGCCTTCCCGCCTGCCTGGCTTCAGTCACCCAATCCAGGTCAGGGATCTGAGAGGAGAGGGTGAAGGCTGACGAGGGACCTAGTGCGAGAGATGAGGAGGA